CAAAACAAAGTTAAAAAATGATGTTAAAAAAGAAAACTAAATTAATTTGGTTGTCTACAAAGATGCTACGGCTATTTAACTTTCCGAATCGAGCCGAACTACGCAGGTCGCCATTTTGTTTCGCCCGGAAGTTCTCACGTTACTCCTCTCTCTCTCTCTTTCCACTGCCCACAGACAAAATTGCACGCTTTTAGGCTAGTAGTAATAGATCTAGAACGTTTGTTCACAGCACAGAATTCTATAATTCTGTTATCACAGTGTGTAGAATTCACCGTTATAGTCTAGGCCAACCAGTGAAGCGTTCACCCTGAACCACAGAATTCTACACACTGTGATGATAACAGAATTATAGAATTCTGTGCTGTGAACAAACGTTCTAGATCTATTACTACTGTTAGTGTTAGCCTAAAAGCCTGCAATTTTGTCTGTGGGCGGTGGAGAGAGAGAAAGAGAGAGAGAGAGAGAGGAGTAGCGCGAGAACTTCCGGGCAAAACAAAATGGCGACCTGCTTAGTTCGGCTCGTTTCGGAAAGTTAAATAGCCGTAGCATCTTTGTAAACAACCAAATTAATTTAGATTTCTTTTTTAACATCATTTTTAAACTTTGTTTTGGTCAATTTGATCCTCCACACCGATAGACAGTATTCAGAAAGAGACAGAGAGAGAGAGGGGAGGAGTAGATCTTGCGAGAACTTGCGGGCAAAACAAAATGGCGACCCGCGTAGTTCGGCTCCATTCATAAAGTGAAATAGCCACAGAGTCTTTGAAAACGATCAAATTAGCTTACTTTTGTGAACGTAATATTTTCTTGGCTTTTATCAATTTGATCATCTACACACCGATAGACAGTATTCCAAAATGAGGAAAAACAGGTCTTGTTTCACACCGGGTGAGAATAGCCTACGCTGGCAAGTCTCACCCGCAGTGAGGGGTAGATCGTATTTTATTCTCACCCCGGGTGAGAATAGAAACTTCCTTTTCCGGGTGAGAATAGCCAAAAGACTCGCCTGCGCTATTCTCACCCGGGGTGAGAATAGAGGTGGCCTTGATCTAAATCTAGACTCTAGATCTAGATAAAATCAATTGAAGAATTTAACGTGCTAAAGTATTAAGATCACCAATTTCATAGTATTCGCACACTCTCCTATGCCATGCTATGTATGATGTGAATTCTGAATAGTGAATTGAATACAATTCCATTGTATTTGTATTCCCACACACCCTGTGCGAATAACTACAGCCTGGAAAAAATGTGCTGATCTGGAAGAATTGCGCTACACTAAAATGTTTCTATATTACAGTAAATACACTCGCTCGTCCTGAGAATAAATTATCCAATGTAAACTGCAATGTCTAGTGTGTAGTGTTGTACGCCCATTATTATTATAACGTCTAGATACATTCATCTACAAGTCCATCTAATAAATCAAAGAAATTCAAAGGGATAACATAATGCTGACCTCTCTTGTCCATTTAGAAGTATAAAAGGCATACATAACAACTTTTTCTTGCTGCCAACGGTCTTTGCTTTTGAGTCAGATACTGAGAAACAAAGTGCTCCACTCAACAAACGAAGTGTTCCACTCAACAAAGAGAAAATGTTATTTTCATTTACAAGCAGCCATGACACCGGAAGTAATTACGTCTGACAGTGCCTTTTTTAGCGTCCATTTAACATGTATCGATACTTATAACGATCGCTACAGATCTTGTAAGGTATCGCTGGTTTTAGCAGTAATCGTACCACAACCGAAAAATAGATTTTATACGATCCGCCGGTAAGTAAAGTAAATTAAAAAGCTTTTTTTCCGCAGCTGATTTTACCAAAAATGTGAAACAAACCAAACAATACCAATTCATTGCTTCCGTTGATTCATTTGAGCCGAAAAGATAGCCGAAAATGATACTAATAATGAAGTTCATTTTTATTGCTCTCTCTCTCTCTCTCTCTCTCTCTCTCTCTCTCTCTCTCTCTCTCTCTCTCTGTAGTATGCACTCGCGCGCGGGTGGATTTTTTGGGGAGGTAAGTGTTTTACGGTGCTCACAACTGTGTAAGGTCATATACATTTTCAGTTGGTAGAACATTTTGAATTTTGCCCGGGTGGCGGCCGAAACGAACTCTTGTCAAGGGATCTTTAACGTGCGCAACTTGCACACGGGACTTCCGACATTTTTCGTCCTTGTCTGAGAAGGCTAGGTGTAGATCTTTCCTACCAGAAGATCAGGGGTGTGACTAAAAGACAGCAGTAAGATGGAGCTAAGGAGTAGCAGTAGAAAGGTAGCAGAAAGAGTCCGGAGCCCAGAGGAGAGGGCAAAGGAGCTGCATGAGGGGGTGGGGGAAGAAAGTGGTGACGAAAGCAGACGACAGAATGTTGCAAGAGAGAAGGAAAGAAGGTGAAAAGGAGACAATTTTAGAAAAGAAAAATTGTCGCTCGCTACCCGTATTCGTACCAGGGACCTTTGAAAGAGAGACGACTTGGCACGACGTGTGTGTGTGTGTGTGTGTGTGTGTGTGTGTGTGTGTGTGTGTGTGTGTGTGTGTGTGTTAGCTAAAGAGGTTAAATTGTAAGGTCCTAATTGGTGTTAGGCCCTATATCTATATCTCGTGTTTAAAGATAATTAAAACGATGTAGCCTACATCCTCAGCCCAAATCGTAGGCCTACCCTTGGAAGAGGGCTCTCGTGGCCTTATATAGAAGTTAATGAGTTCACCTCTCATTCAAAGGTCCCAGGTTCGAATCCGGGTAACGACGGAATCATTTTTTTCTCTAAAATTGTCTCCTTTCACCTCTTCTCCGCTCTCTAAAAATGTTCTGTCGCCTCCTTTGCCCCCTCCCCTGGGCTCCTGACTCTTTCTGCAGCCTTTCTACGGTTTCTCCTTGGCTCATTAAATTACTGCTGTCTTTCCAGCCACACCCCTGCTGTCTTCTGGTAGGAAAGATGTACACCTAGCCTTCTCGGACGAGGGCGAAAAATTTCGGAGGTCCTGTGTGCAAGTTGTGCACGTTAAAGATCCCTTTGTGGTCTAGAATCGATATGAGCTTAGGCTTCGGCCGCCACCCGGCCAGAATTTAAAAATTCCTACCTACTGAAAATGTTTAATGTTTCCCGCGCGATCATATATATATATATATATATATATATATATATATATATATATATATATATATATATAAATTACACTTTTATTTGTCCCGGACGGGCACTTTGGTTTACAATGGCAAACATAACTTTACATACATAAATGCATAATTATAAATACGTACATACATAAATACACGCATGAATACATACATAAATACAATCATAAATACATAATATTACACAAATACAGAACAGTTTACAACCGTGCCGCTGTCGGTCGCCACTAAGCAGCAACCTGTATTTTGAGCTTGGGTTATGTCTTGCTCAAGGACACGCGGGGGGGTCTCGTGACCTAGAGGTTAAGGTGTTGGCCTCTCATTCAAAAGGTCCCGGGTTCGAATCCGGGTAGCGACCGAACAATTTTCTTCTCTAAATTTGTCTCCTTTCACCTCATTTCCTGCTCTCTAGCAATGTTCTGCTTTCGTGTCCTCTTTCTGCCCCCACCCCCTCACTTCCTTTGCCCCTTCCTCTGGGCTCCTGATTCTTTCCGCTTCTTCTTACTGCTGTCTTTCAGCCACACCCCTGATTTTCTGGTAGGAAAGATCTACACCTAGCCCTCTCGGACAAGGGCGAAAAATCTCGGAGGGTCCGTGTGCAAGTTGCGCACGTTAAAGATCCCTTTGTGGTCTAAAATCGATAAGAGTAGGCTTCGGCCGAAAAATGGGTGGCAAATTATGTCGAGGATGGATGTTTTGATAGCTAAATATATGGTCATAATATTGTAATACTGACTGGTTGACAATTTCATTTGGTTCAGTGTTCACTGGGTTTCCTTTTACGAGAATGACATTTTATATTAATTGTTTGTATAACGCATAACTTACAGTTTTCTTTCAAACCACCTTTTTACTTTTATTAACCCTATCGTACGCCCTGGGGTCATTTTGTACCCCCGGGGTTGTATCCTTCATATTTTAGAATAAATCTTGTGCGAAGGTTTCTTTGAAACTTTCAGTATTTCTCCAAAAAAAATCTGTTTGACAGACTTCTATGCACTAAGATAATACCTGGCACTGACGCTGCCAACGCGTTCTCACGCTCTGACACGCCATCACCACATACTGTTAAATTAGGACTCAAGCTTGTGTGTGTGTGTGTATGTGTGTGTGTGTGTGTGTGTGTGTGTGTGTGTGTGTGTGTGTGTGTGTGAGAGAGAGAGAGAGAGAGAGAGAGAGAGAGAGAGAGAGAGAGAGGGGGGGGGGGTAATTTTTTGCAAGCAGCCCCCCCCCCCCCCCGCGAGCAGCTGAATGTGAACTAGCCATTGCAGCTTAATGTGCGCCTAACAGCAACCGAGGCTTGCTTACTGGCGATGGCATCGTGTTGTTAGGTGGCGGTGGCCTAGTGGTTAGGCTCTCGGACTCGCAGCCGTAAGTTCGTGGGTTCGAATCCCGTCAGGGGCAAGACGTTGTATCCTTGGAAAAGGCACTTTACACGAATTTTCCTCACTTCACCCAGGTGGGAATGGGTATACCCGGCCATAGACAGCGAAAGATCTTGTCAGTTTGTTAGTGTTTGAGCGCTTAATCGGCTGCTGTATGCTTCCCGGGAAGCTGAGAATGTTTCTGAGTGTTCTATGGTCTGCTGGGGGTAATGATATAGTGTAAAGCGCATATAGAGCCTGCTGTTGGGCGGGGATATGCGCTATACAAATGCTATTTATTATTATTATTATTATTATTATTATTATTATTATTATTATTATTATTATTATTATTATTATTATTATTACAATTATTATAATTATTATATATATATATATATATATATATATATATATATATATATATATATATATATATATATATATATATATATATGTATATATATATATATATTTTTATATATATACACACACACACACACGCTTTATAACAGTATTACCCCAGCAAACTCTAATTAAACACTCTGACACATTCTCGGCCAATTAAGATGAGGATATATATGAGCCGGGTAGGGGGGTGGGGTGCTGATTTCTGATTAAGAAGGATTCACGAAGGTGAATTATTTATAGTCGATTCATATAGTCTCCATAGGCCAAGGCGGTAAAAAAATGAGTGTTACAACTGAATTATCCTCAAATAACTCTTTAACGGGTGAATCAATGTCCCCCATACTTTGCACAGTAGTTAACAACTTATTTGAACATTGTCCTTTATTACTGAGTAGGCCTAAGAGGCTAGATTAAATATAAAACAAACGTTAGTCCTCTATATAAATAATTACTATGAATCTCTGTCGTCACGTAGAAAACGGGAGTGTGGGCCTACGTACGTTCACAGCATTCCCCGCTTCTCACGCGTCACGCATACTTTGCCTATCCATTACAATTTACGTCACAGCTTTACACTTTTAGAGGCAAAACTTTTTTCAAACAAAATAATCTAATCGAGAAAACTATTTAAAAAAAATTGCACTAAAGGTTCTCAAAATATGCGTTCAATAAGCATTAAATTGTGTTTCGATCAGAAAAAAATGAAAAAATGAAGGACTTGCTTTTGAAAGCGATATATTGTCCCAGATGTAAACTTTTAAATAAAAAAATGTACACTATAGAAACCATATATATATACCCACTGGGTTTTAAAAAATTAGTATTAATTATTAAAGAATGTTCTTGAGCACAGCTAACAGGTGTTTATATACCCCCCCCCCCCCAATCCAGGGCGGTGCCACTGACTGAAGTGTCTTTAGGCCATTCCCAAAGGGGCGACATCTCTCGTTCTACTGCACAGTAGAATTGTAAATGCGCTGATCCAATAATGTCATGCTCATAATTGTGCCTGAACTACTACAGCTGCTTTTTCTTTCCTAATCCTACTATCGTCATTTTCCTCTACGTCTTTTGTATGTTTGTCTCACTCTTGTGACCCGCTATTTCCGGGGTGCCTTGACAGTCAAAGCAGACTTTGTGCTGTTGAAGCTAGAGAGGTGAGCAGAATAAGTCTGATTCCCTGCAAGGACTTCTCTGTTTACATCCACCCCATGGCGGTCATATATGACCTTATGCAGTTGCGAGCGCCGTAAAACATCTACTTAAACAAAAAACATGACAGGTATTTACAAAAATATTGACCTGTTGAGACAATTGCCACAAACCATTGGGCAAACGCTGGAGACTGTATGTTCGACAGTTCAGGAATAGATCTATAAATTTGACAATAAGTTGCGCCACCAATTTTTGACCGCACAATAGTTCAAAATGCTGTAAATTCTGCCTCCTTCTGAAATTTAACGCGATTGAACATTGGCGTATAGAAGACATTTCTTAAAACACATGTTAATTTGAGATTTTTATCTCTTCTACTGTTATTCTTTTCAATTGACGAGTCCTCTTATTGAAATGTAAAAAAAAAAATACCTGTTTTAAAAATAAACATTATATCGTTGAACACCGAAACTGGTAAAAACTGTGAAAGCTATCTTTAACGTATTTAGAGCTCTTTCGGATAAGAGGCACAAAACTACCCAAGAACATGCGCAATGAACTGTTTTGCAAATGGTACTTCCTGTTCCTTGAACTCTGGAGAGGTGACTTGACTTCCCCAGTCAAAGACTTGGCGACAGGTCATAATTGCAGTGAAAACGGCTGAAGCAAACCTTCAGCATGGCACTGCTTTTTGCAAGGACTTCATTGCTGCTTCGTAATCAAGGTAGCCAAAAACTACCACAACTTTTGAGGCAGAGTACAGAAAACTCTCTTGGCGCTTGCACAGTCCTTGTTGCGAACTTGACGTCTTACCATAGCGAAAAGGCACCCCGAAAGAAGGCTTGGCCGTACAAGAAGAAGGGATTTAGGTATTGGCATATTCCTTTTGACAGAGTTGACAGCCGGATTGATGACAACACGAAAGTAATTGTTATCGATGGAAACCTGGCTACTGGCAAAGCTGAACTTGGAAAGAAGATTGCCAAAGAATTTGATCTTCTGTACGTTCCTGATGTCTCTGATAAGGACATGTACACAATACAGCAGACCAATTTTGATGTCAGAGAATATGATGCACAGCTACCCGTCAAAGCAAGATCTTGTGACTTTGAGGCCTTTTACTCACAGAATGCATCAAAAGGTGTGCTGGCGAACTTCCCAAGAACTCAGTATGAAATTTTTCGACACAAGCTGTTCAATTATGCCCAAAACATCATCGCCCATGTATTGAACACAGGTAAGCAATTCATGACAAGCCAGGGCGTATAATATTGGGGATTCATGTTGTATATCAGGTGCCTAATTCCAAAAGGCTTGTAGCGCTGTGTAATGTAGATGATAAACCCTTGACTGACCATATAAAGTAGGACAGAAAATAACTTTTATCATAGCCTCATGAGAAACTAAACCATTTAGCCACACTCTCTTACACACTCGCATGCTTGCGCACACATCACAGACACACACACTCTCATGCACACACACCACAGACACACACACACACACACATACTACTTCCAGTCCCACACTCATGACCTGCATTTACTGGCCGAGGACGATGTTTAACGAATGTGTCTTTAGACGTTGAACCGTTCCTTAAATTCTCTCGCTGAGATGCTATGATATATCATTTCTTTTGGGAGGGAATTCCAAATTTTTGAGGCATGATATGATAAGGAAGGAAAAGGTCTATATAAGGTAGCAATGCCAATGAAAATTTAAATTTTCACTTTTGCCCCCTTTTTTTTGGTACCTAAGAAAGAATTTTCAATTCTGATAATTATGCTTCTTGAATTTTGAGAAACGGTTCATAAATAAAAAAGTTATGGGGTTGTAAAGGTCGGCAAAATATGGATGACCCACATATAGGAAAATACTCCTAAAAAGTGGACCACGCAGTAGCAGATTCTGTAAGAAAATCGACGATATCTCGGTAACTAATCCCAATGTTCGAGAGAAACTTGGCTACCCGATGTGTTTTTGAGTGTAGAAATCATTTCTGCAGTCAGATTTACTACCAATTTCGTAGTTATTTTGTTATAATTAAAATTGTGGTGTACATATTACGATTTTGCGAAAAAGGGGTGTCGGGATGAGTCCATTTTATTTATAGCATCGTATCACAACATGGGATCTTTAAGAATATATGTCGGCAGCGTGACTAAATAATTGCAAAGCTTTTTATGATGACTTTAGACCATGCCAACCGTAAAAGATAAGTTAATTCAATCTAGCATGCCGTACAATTAAAAATTCTTTTTCCCCGTTGAGACGCGAACACCCCGAGACGAGATAACCTCGCCTCGGAATACCCCCATTGCAATGTTACAGGGGAATAGAGAGAAAAACAACCGGATGCGCGCGCCCGCCATTGCCCTATTTTCAAGTGACCAATGAACGGGCCCGGAATAGTCATGCGGGGATTTGTAGGTCACAGACATTTGCCACGGGAGTGAGGGGAAAATGGCCGGTCTCCGTGCGAAGCCGCTTTGGATAGGGGGGTAGTCGTAGATTTACGATCGGGTCTAAACAACTACTTGACACAGAACTCTCAAATTTGAGCACACTATAGAGGATAGATAGATCTATTACCATCTGGGCGTTGAAATTCAAACTCCTTATAGTTTTCGGTGTACACGATACGAAAGTGTTCCCGACACCAAAAGTATAGGTTAATTTATGTGTACGAACTTCAACGTCCACATTTCATTAGTTTGCCCTATTTTCTGATTGGTAGCCGAGTTTCATTCGGATTGGTTCGGAAATAGAGCAGACCGAGGTTGACAAAGTTAGTCACCTACGCTTCGGCCGGGTCCGCAAAATCGCCCGTAAACGGGGACCAAATTTTCGCCTCGCGGGAAAGCCCGATTGGCATTGCTATATAAGGTCTTACTTTAACTCTTGTCCTGCGTCTGTGCCGAAATGCAAATTTTATCAGCAACCGATTACGTCGGACATGCCGGGCAGGCCGCTGGGATCACTCAGTGTGTTCTGTTGGTGTACAGCGCGCGCGCCGGGAAACGTGTGTTTTCGCCATGAATACAGTGGGACCGAGTGTGTTAATCGATGATGAAAATAACGCACTATCTTTCATAGCTTTCTATTTATAAAGTAAAGTGTTACAAACACAGGAATAACCCCCTCTCACAAGCTGATAAGACATTACGAGTAGTTACGCCCTTTCGAATAACTTTTCTGGATGCTCTTGTTGTTATGAATGACCTGAGGTTCGAAAGGGGATAATATAGGTCAATTTCCTAATGTTTTACACTCAAATTGTTCTTTGTACCTGCACAATGGTATTCAAAACTATCAAACAAACTTATTTTTTATCAGGTAGTATTATTTTATACAAAATCAAGCTCATTTGAAAGATTTTGTATGGAAAAATGAAAGTCTTGTTTCCTGACTATCCTTTCGAGCTCCTCATGTTTAAGTGGGTCAATTTCTTCTATAATTTCATTGGACGAACATCTAGAGCTACCAACAGGGTTGGTGATTTTTTTGATTTTTTAAATAAAAATTTAAAAAATCGATTTTTTGGATTTAAATCAGATTTTTTAAATTTAAATCGGATTTTTTAAATTTTAAAATTTAAAAAAAAAATGTCGACATAGTTTGGGATTTTTGGTGGCTAAAAGTAAGTTCTTTTAGTGCAAAATACATTGTCTTTATTTTAACTAATGATTAATTTAAGCAACTGCAATTTTAGAAAACCTTAATCGGCTATATCAGTGAATTATAAATGGCTACAGACAAAAAATGAAGAAAATGTCAGTCTAAAAGGAAGGGGGGGGGGGGGGGGGTAATTATGCATAGATAAACTTGCATTTTATTACAGTGTGTGTGTGTACGCGCGCTTGTGTTTGTCTAAAAAGAAGAAAATGTTAATTTCAATTATGAAAAAAAAGTAAAATACAGTCAAACCTGTGTAAGACGGCCACCCATTGTCAAGGAGAAAAGTGGCCGCATAAGACAGGTGGCCGTCTTAGGCAGGACTGATCAAGATAAAGAAAACAAACCATTCCCAACTGAGGCCCCAATCGAAAGTAGCCCCATTGTTGTTGTCTTTGTTGGTGTTGTTGCTGTTGGTTTGTATTTCGTTTGTAATTTTTATTTTGTCGCTGATTTTGCACAATGGTGACAATAAAACGAAATGTATCAGACAAGGAAGACCGAGTGCCATGTTAAAACAAACACATGGGTCGCCACCACTCGGAGAACGAAGGACGCTTCTGTAACAAGTTCATGTTGACGTCCTTTGTTACTTTGTTACGGACTGGGTAAACAGTAACCACTCATCTCACTTACGATTTGTGTATGAGTTCTGGGCGGGGCTTATGGGTTATGAGGGATCACACGCTAACTCACCTGCAGCTGAAAATTGGTAGCTATTGGTCAACAGTGGGAGGGGCCTACGCAACATGATCGGTTGGAGGGACTACCTAACAACAACGACAGGTGATTGAATTATGACGGCTCGCCCACAACGCCAGGGGCCAATGCACAATTTATGACAAAACGTAATGGATTCACTAAGGTGACCGTCTTAGACAGGTATTATTGCTTAGTATTATAGGGGTTGTGTGTTAAATTTTTGTGGCCGCGGCCAGGTGCCCGTTTTACACAGTTAAATTATATAGAAAAAATGCAAGGGGGGAAATGGAAAGTGGCCGTTTGTACAGGTGGTCGTCTTATAGAAGTGGCCGTCAGGGCAGGTTCGACTGTATGTACAGTATCATTTCACTACTTACAGTGACAGGGGGGGGGAAAGCAGACTTTTAAGCATGATTATTTTAGTCTACTAAAACTTATATCTGTTTTATAAAACCAAGGAAAGGAATTCTGAATGTTTAAAGATGTAAAAACAGAATACATTTTTTTAAAGAGATTTAAATCACTGAGTTTTATTTTTAAAATCAAGTTGATTTAAATTTTTAAAAATCAACTGAAATCGACCCAACCCTGGTTTTCAATTATGAAAAAAAAAAAAGTTGAGTACTGTATCATTTTACAGTGACACTGTTTTATAAAACCAAGGAAAGGAATTCTGAATGTTTAAAGATGTAAAAACAGAATACATTTTTAAAAAAGTGATTTAAATCACTGAGTTTATTTTTAAAATCAAGTTGATTTAAATTTTTTAAAAATCAACTGATTTAAATCAACCCAACCCTGGTTTTCAATTATGAAAAAAATAAATAAAATGAGAACTATATTATTTTACAGTGACAGGGGAGAAAGCAGACTTTTAGGCATGATTATATTAGTCTACTAAACCTTAATCTCTGTTCAGTAAAACCAAGGAAAGGAATTCTGAATGTTCAAATATATGTAAAAACGGAATACATTTTTTTGAAAAGTGATTTAAATCACTGATTTTTATTTTAAAAATCAAGTTGATTAAAATATAAAAAAAATCAACTGATTTAAATCAACCCAGCTCTGATTTCATTTATGGAAAAAAAAAGTAAATTGAATACTGTATTATTTTACAGTGAAAGGGGGGAAAGCAGACTTTTAAGCATGATTATATTAGTCTACTAAACCTTATCTGTTTTATGAAACTAAGGAAAGGAATTCTGAATGTTAAAATGTGTAAAAACTGAATAAAAATAAATTTTTTAAAAAGTGATTTAAATCACTGATTTTTATTTAAAAAATCAAGTTGATTTAAATTTTAAAAAATCAACTGATTTAAATCAACCCAACCCTGGCTACCAACTTGGTGTGTTTTGAATGAGACGTATGCGTCGATTACGAACCAACGCAGGCGGTTCTAGAAGAAGGCCACAAACGCACACAAACCCAAGCAGACTGACGCACACACATTTGACCTACGTGAATGGGGATCCGACTCGGGAAACTCATTTCACGTAAGATGATGCACACTGATCCAGGGGCTACACTGATTCGGGACCAGAACGTAGGCGAGGTACCGAAATCGGCTTATCGGGGGATATAAAGCCGGCTCCCGCAGGACGAGGGTTAAGATGTGGTGCCACATTTTAACTCACTCACTGCCGGAATCTTGACTCTGATCAATGTGCTGCGTGTCCTAAAGTAAAAGCTTTTTACCTGACTAAAAGAAATCAAGTACTCTGTAACTATGATAAATGTTTGAATAGGGCCTACTGAAATTTAGATAATTTCAGCTGATGTTGATCTTTACTGAACAGAAAGAATTTTGACTCTTATTTTGTTCACATTGGACAGGTGCCAAGACCTTTGTTTTTAGTTGGTTTTTAACTATTCAAGCACAATATTTCTTCTTTTTTTTGTTGAGTGTGCTGCTATTTCTGTCGAAAATACTACACAAAAATGCAAAAAGTACAGAGACATACAATATTGAAAATTATAACACGAAGATAAGTATATATTCGATATATATGGCTTTTTGAAGGTAGCGTAAATGCGGCGTCGCGGCCTTCCAAGCACGTGGTATCGGGGAAATTCACATGGCTGTTTCTTTGCTCTTTCGTTATAAAACAAAAAATGCTGTACACCTTGTAAAAGTTCAGCTTTTCCTCATTACAATGGTGTATGTTGTTTATATGTTCCGATTATTCGGAGCTGGAGGATGGCCGTGGAAAGCGAAGCCGCTCGCGATCAGAATGCGTGGTCGGCCGGTTAAAAAATTGACACATGGAAATCGCGGAAAGATTGATGATTAAATACTGTCTTTTCATTGGCGGAGAACTGTAGAGCTTTGAAAGGGCTTTCTCTGGGTATATTTTTGGCCTTTTTTTATCGTTTAGATAGAAAGCCTTTATAAATACTGTCAAAGTTTTTAAAGATAATTTTTAAAGCGAGATATGTAAAATACCAGCTCAAAAAAGTACCAATAGAAAGATATGTTCATTTTCTATTAGAATAAAGTAATCGGCTTGGAATTATTTTGCATCAATCCTTCCATGAAACTCAGAAAGCATTCGTCGAAATATTTGCACTGATTGAAAGAGGTGGGGGTTGATTGGTGTCAGAGATAAAATTAGAGAGAGAATAGCAGCCAAATTTGGTGACTGCCAAACTTGAATGTCTTTGTAAACTTCAAACTTACATTTTTTTTAAATGCTGTTGTTTATTTGTCTATAAAGTCCACACAGAGATGTGGGTTTTTTTTAATGGACTTAAAAGGTGTTAAGCTAAATTAATTTTTTTTTTTTTTAATGCCTAACTGGCAGAAAAATGTCAGTTTCTTCAATTTCAGTATTTTGACTAAGAGCCTGAATTCACCACAATGCCGATTATAAATTCTGATATTAGTCGTTGAAAAGTACAACAATATTTCTTGGCTCCTTTGTGTCGCAGGCCAAGGTGTCGTCATGAACAGAGGAGTGTGGTCTGATATGGTGTTTGCACACACTCTGAGAAAGCAGGGATACATGTCTGCCAGAGGTAACTACTCAAAATATAATTGAATTACATTATATTAGAAATTGTTTTGTTCATCAATAAGTTCATCAGAAATACGAATTATGTTGTATGCGGACAAGAACAGTGAATGGAAAAAGAGGTGATTTGAGATTGTTGTTTTAGGATAAGACATTCATGAAAATATGATACTTTCAGTAACTTACATGACCTCCTTTTACGATTCAGCTATGCTTGAGATGGTTTTTTTTTCTTTTTTACATTTGTAAGCACTTCAATGGTTGTGGTTGAGTAAGATAACTCATTTGAAGTGAATGAGATGGGTTTTTGAAGTGTGTGTAGTGAGCACAAAACATTGCATCTGATTATTCCTCAGCCCTCAAAGCTTACCAGTACCAGTATGAAGTGGCCACTGACTACTTTTGGCATCCACATCTTGTCATATATCTGGATGCTCCTGTTGACCAGGTGAAAAAGAACATCAAGAAGAGGAATGTGGTAAGCTGACTTTTGGAACCCTTTGACCCCTTCCCTGCTTCACCCGGAACTGTTCCGGACCTTCTAATGTCACTATACTGCCACGGGCCCAGAACTGTATGGGCCTATTTCGTAGGCACTCTTTGGGTAATTACATGACGTTAATTCTTGAAATACTTTTTTTTTTTTAGACAGTTCCCCTGACCAGTACTGCTATTTGTTGACATTATGTAAGTGTAGGTTTGAAGTGAGAAGACACTTTGTGAAGTAAATCACACTTTGCTTGTGTTTCGTCGAAATGTCACCATAGCAACTGGTGGTAGAGGTAACCAACCAAGATAAGCAGCACTGGAAGTGTTAAGCAAGGTAATGCAAGACAGTGACAGTGATGATAATGATCTTAGCACAGGTAATGATGTCTTGGAAGATGAAGAAAGTGATATTGAGGGCTTTATGAGCTTTTATGAGAGAAGGTATAGAGTAAAGTATAACAGTAACAATGATGTGGAGCTGATGAAGAAAATCAGCATCAAAGCTAAAAAGTAGGGCACTTTAAGAGTAATTAATTTTTCCTGCAACCCTGTGAAGTTTCAAGTGTCTCCTTCAATAAATAAGAGAATAAAAAGCATTTTAGTCATGGTAATACAGTGGAACTCGGATTCAACGAGCTCGGTTTCAACGAGAACTCGGATTCAACGAGATGAGATAGATTCCTCGTTTTTTTTCTTCTTTAAAATCAATAAAAATAACCTGGATTCAACGAGCACTTAAATCAGCGAGCTCGGATTCAATGAGGTCGCTTCTAGGGTGAACAGCCCCCGCAGACGTGGCTTCTCTCATTTTTCTCCCAGAACGAACTTTATATATTCCCGGAAATCATACATTGCACCTGCATTGTGAACCATTATTCACTTACCCGATTGCATTCTACCAATCGGCAGCTTTTTTCATACCAACACAAGCGTTGTTGGCACGTGCACCTGTCTACTCTGGCGTGTGTCGGGGTCTGATGGGCGGCCTGCACATGTGTGACTGTGTCAGGGAGGGGGGGGGGGGGGCACTAGCGGTCCGGGCGTTGAACGTCGCTGATACAAACGTGGCACAGTCTTTTTCCCCCTCTGCAACTGATCATTATTACAATGATAAGCTAGTCTTGACGTAGATCTACGTAATGAATTGTGCGCTGGTCTATGGAAATCAAAGTTGCCGTATGCTAGGCTCTTCACAGCAACACAACTTTTTGGTAAACAATCAAGATGACACAGGCGTGTGCATTTGAACGAATCAGTCTTTTTTTTTTTTTACACAGCTCATAATGTGCTGACATTTCAGGCACTACTTGTGACTTCTCTTTTTACATTACTTGCTCAGTGCCTGTAATTATCTATACAAAACCTCATGTTTGCTATAACGAACACTCGGATTCAACAAGATTTTAGGCCAGGCCCGGCGACCTCGTTGAATCCGAGTTCCACTGTAGTGATGTTGTGTTTTCCCTCTGGCATACGACTAAACTTTTTTGTGGCATGATCAGGTTAATAAGTTTCTTAAAAAATAGTTTCTGGAAACAAAGTTGGTTGGAAGTTCAGTTTTTTGATTGTGTAATCAGTTTTCACACAGCACTTTACTGATGGAGCCAACAGGTTGAATTAATCGATGGTTGTAATCTTCCATGGAAATCCAGAATTTTGGGGGCATCAGAAAGTTTACCTCCTTTCCCTGTTTCTACTCTCATTCTTCCTCTGTCAGCGGTCAGCATGTCCGCTCCTTCCTGTGTGGTTGAATCGACCCTTGACTTTTTCTAATAGCATTTCATCTATTTCTAGACCCCATGTCACCCAGCACACATCCCCCCCCCCCTCCCCGTTCGACTGGTTTGTACTGACTGTTTGATATGTGGCTGAGTTTCCCAAACTGAATTACAGAAGGTAATGTAAGTGATCTGTGAACATGTCTTCAAATTGATGAAAAACCTCTGTTATGTTTTACCAGAAAGGGGTGAACTTCATTTTGCTGCTTTATAGAACTATGCTCTCTTCTGCTTTTTCATTTCATCATCTGAAAAATTTGTATTGTATACATCCGCTTTTTCTTTCAGCCATGGGAAGTAAACAGCCCTGTCTTGACTGATGAGTTCTTGCACACAATCAATGATGTCTACAAGAACAAGTACCTGCCTTATATGAAGTAAGTGACAAGGGCTCTTTCATTTCATAAAACGTTATTTTGACGGAGCACCTGATTTCACCATGCTGCCTTGCAAATATTTTTATAATCAGTGACTGATAATTTGACCATTTTTTCACTCATACTACCATTCATTGATGCTAGTGCTCATATTCAAGATAAGTGTTATTTTTATTTCCATAAATTCCAATCCAAGTTCTCTTATGAGTGAAACATATGCCGTTTCAGGACACGGGCTGAGGTCTTGACTTACAACCTTGCTGAGAATCCAGAACCAGATTTTGAAGTGGTAAGAGTACTTTTTTCTCATTTGTTGAAAATTTTCTATTTCTTCCAGAAGGGATGAATAACTAGAGCTGAATGAATGTCCCCAAAGACTATTGTATAACTTTGCAATATTATGCCAATAGTGTGTTCATAACAAAGCCCTGTCATATGTTAGCTGATTTTTTTTACTCCTCTCCTGGAAACTCTTAAAATATACTGGTCACGTCATCTCAGTGATCTAGGTGGATCATAAATCAAGGGAGTAAAAAAATCAGCTGAGAGGTCCTTTGCCCATCTTGCTCCATCAGTTTGGAACTCCCTTCAGCAACCCCTGAGAGCCACAACATAGGATCAAAGGATAGGACAGATTAACTTAAAAAGTACCTATCAAGGCCTAAGAGGTTAAAGTATGAAAATGATGGACTTTGCATGATAAAGCTGTGTTGGGAAGGCAATCTCACAAGGTTTTCTTTCTTGTTTTCCCTACAGGTTGTGGAGGATTTGGAGAGCTTGGACTTGAACAATGCTCCCCTGGAGTATGAGAAAAGATTTGCTGATTGGAAGGATGTGCACAACAGAGATTTTAATGACATGAGAAGTTTGTAAGTGGGAATGGTTTCGCTGTTTGATGACTTTGAAGTTTGATGTGCTTTTTATCATGTACAGCCAAACCTTGTTGTACCGCCACCCTTGGGATGAGAAGAAGTTGGTGGAATAGCAGGGCTGGCGGTTCAACAGGGTTCCTCTACCATAAGTTCCAGCTGCCCAACATCAGGGGACCCGATTCCTCTGTCTGATGTGTGTTTGAAAAGTGTCTTTTTGTTGGGGATATACAGTGGAAACCCAATATATATAACAGGCCCGGTAATAACAGGGATCCGGTAAATCCCCGTTTTTTCCTACTCTTTGTCTCTTTTAAAAACTATCGGTAATAACAGGGCCTTATCTGAGCCCAACTGGTTATATGAGGGGCAAAGGCTCGTTAACAATGTGTAAAAAGTAAGAGAGAGAGAGAGAGTAACACAGTGATGGAGCAAGCCCACGCAAGCCACGCCACTTCAAGCACTTGCAGCGGGTGAAGCGGAGAGGGCTGCAGTCTGCTGCAGACTTCGATCTAGCCCTAAGCCTAGCTAGACGCACGCGTAATGTGTCATGCGCAGGCCTGCCACATGGCCAAAACCCCCGTTCGTGGGTACTTGTGAAGGAGTAAATACTGTATATAGGTGCTCCGTTTTGTACTTTAGCAAAACCCTGCAGTAAGCAGGACCAGCTGTATAGCGGGGCAAGGTTTATTAAGGTTTGGCTGTACTTATGTGAGTGCTCCTACACGTGGAGGAGAGTTGTAGTCTTCTAAACATCTAAATTCATGTTACCCAGTACCGGTACTTTGTGTTCAAACTTTGCAGTGTGTTCAGAAGGATTAAAACAAGTTTTTCCTGGAATAGTTTAATGCCGTTGCATTTATGCTCCTCTTTATGATTTTTTAAAATGCCTTGCAAACTGTTTTGCTGTGCCAATTTTCAGGATAAATCTGGAAATTCTCCTTTTCCCTTACCAGTGGTAACTTTACAATTACGAATAGTTGTAAAGCGCACTGAGCAAGCTGTATACTCTGTTGAGCAAGAGTATATGCTATATAAATGCAAGTATTATTACGAGTGCATCTCAGATTATGTCTAGTCAACCTCATTTAGACAAGATATTAGAAAAAGAAAATAAGATGAGGATAAAAAAATATCAGTGGAAAAGAAAGTAGCTATAACTGATAAACTGGTTGTGAGCAATCTATGTAATAAAAGTGATCCCATTAGTTAATCATTAGTTATAGTGCACGTAATTGTGGTCCCAGTTTGTAAAAAGTTTCAGCTATGTCAAGGACATTGCATTGGTCCTGGCGGTCCTGTTATAGCCGAGGACCATTGTGTATATTTTGCAGTTATTGTTTTTAAAACTGTAAAATTATAATCAATCATGTTTTTGAACAGATGCTCAGAGCACAACCACTACAAGCTTCTCAACATTTTCAACTTCCACCCTCCGTATGAAGCGTCTGAACTTATTGTGGATGGGATGGATGGCCTGGCCTACAATGCGACTGTGGCTGAAGTAAGTAGTACTCTGTTGGACTGTTTATTCCATATCAGTGTATTTAGAGGGTGGATTGTCTAAGAGCACGGGTGTCAGAACTGAAGAATGATTTTATCCCGCTGGTGAGAGAATTTAGGTGGTCCATCCTGAGAATTTCTATAACACAGAACCTTACTCTAAACGCAAACAAACATGTTGCCAAAAAAAAAGATGCGAAACATCCAGCACTGTCAAAATGGCATAAGAGCAAAAATTGGTGTGCTTTGATTTATTATTATAGTGGAGTTCGCTTAAACTTAACTCTGTGGAACCAGGTTTTCGGTTTTGAAAAGTTGCTCAATTAGAAGAAAATAAAACCTAGGGATTTTTTCTTTTCGGTTTACCAGTTTCGAATTAATCTTGTTCTGTTTAACAGATGCGACTGTATTTTAACTTTGGTCTATTTTGATTTATATCATGGCTTAAAACAAGGTTTAGTTCACACTGCTCAATAAATGTTTATCCTGTTTGGCCGGCAACCGTAAATGTAATTTGAATTTGGCCCCTTGGGCAATTGAGTTTGGCACCCTGGTTTTAGACTGTGATGTTAACCAAAATTAATCATTTATCAATTCTTGAATGAACAGAGGATATTCTAAAAAAGTAGATAATTAGTGTTCTAAAAAAGTAGATAATTAATGGTTTGATAGTGATGACTATTACCAGAGTAGGATGCATTCTTATAATACCTTTGACCTGTTTTCAGTTTTAGGAAAATATATTTTCTTTTTTCTGGTTCAATGATTGAATTTGAAGTAGAAGTAGTAGTAGACGTAGAAGGGAAAGAGATGAAACTCTGTTTATCATGATTTGGGAATTGGGTAAAGTTCTATATGAACGAAAACTCTTACTACAATTTTTTTGAATTGGCAGAAATTGCGTATACTTTTGATGACATTTCATCAAACTTCATTACCTTGACTTTGTGAATGAATTCTCTTTTGAATAAAACTCATGTGCTTGGATTTTAATTTTATGAAAAAATATGTTGATCCAGTGAGTTACCCAAAGAATGTTAAAATTAAATGCTTGCTATGTTCTTTTTTCTCTACTGGGGTCTGTTGAGTTGTTCTCTGTTGCCTTTTTTTTTTCAAACAGTACATGTAGTTTTGTAGAAGGTTTATATGTTTTTTTAAAATTAAGTGGTACATTGAAGGATTCTGTATGTTTTTTTAAAGAGTTTTTTTTTCTCGCTGAAAACTTATATATATATATATATATATATATATTGAAAATGGCACCTACTTGGATGTCTTTTTGTAAAAAGTTTTTTTTTTCCAAAACTGATTCAGATAACAGTGGAAGGCTATTTTGTCTTTTAAAAATTTAATGCTTTGTATAATATATGGTTATAATAAGATAACTTTGAAGATTTTTGCTATCAGTTGTAGAAATCTTTCTTCTCTCTTCTTTTTCTTTTTTTTTTTGTTGTTGCATTTTATGTTTAGTTTTTTATCTGGTTCTTTTAGTTTGTTTCTACTTCTTTAAACATGACATTTGAATATTTTTCTCTGTTTTGCAGGATCCTCGCTTCAAATACAGTGAAAACTACCAGCCCGGTGATTCCATGAGACACTGGAGAATATTGTAGAAGGAAGCTTAGATAGATCTTGAATTTTTATTGCAAGTGTGAAACTGTTGTCTTGACATTTTTGTTTTTCTGTTGAAGGATTTTTTTTCTGTGGCAAAAGCACAGACTGTAGATGATGGGCAGTGTATAGCTTAGGACTTGTGAGATTTATTAAAGGTCTAAAGTATGGAATGAAAGTGACATGTTCACTCTTTTTCTTTATTGATTCAGTATGAATATATACAAAGTTAGGAGTATGTCTAGTGATAAATTTCTTTGCTTCAAGAACCAGCTTTGACAGTGAATGAAGTTTGTTCAAATGGATTTGAAGTCTTATGTGTACTTTTTCTGTGTCTTGTGATAACTAAATGACACTTGAAAACTGTTTTTCCATGTCTGAAGATGTTTTTCATGCATCTTGTATTTCGTTACTTGTTTCGGGACGCTTGGTATTTGATGAATAAAGCAACCCTTTGTGTACCTGGAAGTGGTTGGACGTTGATTTGGTAAATTTTGCTTCTAATTTTTCTTCTACTTTTACTAGAACCTGTTTGTTTCAATGTTTGTGAGAGTTCTCTGTGACCTAAGGAAGTGGATGATTTAATCTTTCCTGAAAGTGTTTGTGGTAGAAGTGAATATTGCCTTAAGTGCTGTGTAGACAAAAGTGATGTTTTTTACCCTTCATCGATGTCTGAAATCATTGAATGTGAGTGAAAAGAGGAAAGCTTCAAGCTTAACCCTGTGGCTGTGAGCCCGTAGCACCGGTACACTGGTGGAGCACTTCGGCAACAATTATCCATAGCACCAGTTCACTGGTGTGAGGAGAGAGCACTGAATTATTGAGCCGAAAAGACAGTAATTTTTTTAGCAACCAAAACGCTAGTTTCTGTCAACATGCTATCATGGGATACCAACATGCGTGTGCCCATTCAAACATGTTTTGATGTGGGTGCTCTGATGTGGTTTGCTTTGTCTTTCCTATCTATCAAACATCTGTCGTCCTTATCTCCCCTTTCCCTTCTTCTTTTTTATGTTTGTTACTCTCCTGTAACACCTCTAATCTTCTGGTGCTCATATGACCTTATGCAATTGCGAGCGCCGTAAAACCTCTTCTAAAACTACACAGATCACATTCTATGCTGATTTACTGAGTTTTTTTTCACTATGAAGCCCTCTCTGCCAGAACCTGGATGCTCAAGAGGCCGGGATTGGGGTAAAATTTGCAGGAGCTGTGGGCTCATGGGTTAACGATGGTCATAACTTGCTTGGCAGAAATAAAAAGGGACATGGCTGCAGTTAAGGACAGCAAAGGCACAAATGAGACCCGTGTGAACAATGAGTGAGATAAAGGCAGATCGTGTGTTGAAAAAAGTGTCGTGAAAATGGAGATGCCCTTGAAAGTCCATGGAACAGAATCTGAAGGCTCTAGTTTTTCTAGAAGCTTTGTGTGGGCTACTGAGAAGGTTGATTTTCACTTTAATAACTTATTTTACCACTTTGTTTTCATCTCCCTTGTTAATGCACTGGGTGGTTGGAGGGCGCCACGGAGGCCGTTGTTTCTGTCTGTCTGTGTCTGTCTTACTTTTTCTGGGCACTAAATGATCATAATTGTGTCAGTGTTCTTTTCTTTACTCAGTCTCCTTTCCTGCTCTCTGATCCCCTTGCTGGCCATGGTAGTGTGGTTGTTCACAAATGCGGTCTAGATCGTGGAACTTCAGGATTTGGATCAGATTGGCCTCAATGTTTATTTTCTTCCTCTCTTGACAATTTTTATTTTGATTGTTGTAATGTGGGCTCAATCCTTGTGGGTGGTTTTCTGTCTGGTAATCACAGTGTAATAATACTTGCAGTAGTACACACTCTGTTGATAATGTACAAAAACATAAAAACCAATGTGGGTGGTGTGGTTTACTCCTTGTTTCCCATCAAACACCTATCATCTTTTTTTCTCTTTTTTGTGTGTTTATTACTCTCTTGTAACGCCTCTCATCTTCAGCTCTTAAAAAATAACCTAAACGAGTTATAAGTGCTAAAAAACTTGTACCGAAACAAAACGATATATAAATTTGCTTTAGAAGAATACATAGCATGGACAAAATGTGTCGAGCATAAACTTAAATAAGCATAAATAAAACTTTGTGTACCGCTATTGTGTTTGAAATTTAATAATAACTTTGCAATCGCCCTATTCATTCTCAGTCACTCGTTTTCATGTTTTGATTTTGCAGTTAAAAATAATAATATGCACAAAGATAGTTTCAGTTGATGATACAATTGTTTTTATTGCGTTTCTGGCTAAGTCTTAGTACATTATATTTTGCACATACTGTAGAAATAAGAAAATAAGAGGTAAGAAAAATTCTGAGCTACTATGTGTATATATTTAAAAAGGGACAATACAATGATACAATGTTCAGTGGAATCTGCTGAAAGAGACATGTATGGGACGGCCATATGTTGAAAAGTACTAGCCGGATTTCTGTTTTAGAGATACATGTACCACTATTTTCGAAGTTTCTTGTTTTAAGTTTTAGGGGAGTCCATTGGGGCAGCTCAGTTCTCACTGTGGATGTATTCAAGAACATTGGGCAGTCCTCTCACCACACACGCGCTCAGAGCACTGCGGTAGAGACTCAGATCATGGGCGTCGTACCTGGAGAAAGATTTGATGTTTCAGTACGTTTTACGGCACTGGCAACACAATTGGGTCGTATGACTCATGAGTGTAGAAGAGGTACCAGAGAGTAACAATAACAAACAAACAAAAAAAAGGAGGAGAGATGAGGACGATAGATGTTTGATTCGAAAGAAGGAACAAACCACCCCAGAGCACCCTCAAACCACCCATGGCCTGAAGGAAGGTATTTATTATGTTCACTTTACTTTTATGTAAAAGTAAAAAAAAAAAAATTCACATTTCTTTTCAGTGAAAGAATTCGAGTAGCTTGTTGGGTATGGAATTCCCCCATTTATTACAATTACAGTACATCATGTACATCATAAATGTGAAAAATTACCGACTTGTTTGCACAGTTCGAAAAGAAAAAAAGAACTGACACGGGCATGGCTTGGGAAACACTAAAGAACCGCTAGACCTAGTGAGGATATTAAAGAAGCACAATTTCTATCAGCTCCCACAAGTAGTAAACCGGCTTTTAAACAATAAAATTCATTCCGAGGGCTGTTGTAAAATTATCGCTGATCTGTACAGTCCTTCATCTCTTTATTTGAGTTCTTCTCTTCTTCTTTGTAGGCAAACTTGCTATCAATAGAGTTAATACTGTTCTGTCTTAGTAGTCTGTAGCGAGTCGGTGCATTAACTGTAACGTCAAATCTAAATGCTGTGCTTAATTATACCAATACCGGTATTGATTATGCTTATTGTTGATAGTATGTTTATCATTAGGCCCTATTATCAATCTTCAGCATCATCGTCTGAAGCAGCAAATAAATGTCGGAACAGCAAACATCATCAGCAGTCTCAACCTGTCCCCGTGGTTTTATGCACCCCGCATAATTAAGCAAAATTTAATCTTCTTTTACATAATTTCTTATTATTTTCCTTCATCATTCTTTGTTAAAATTAACAGAATCGCATAATTTCACACTTTTGGGCTCAGTTTGCATAATCTCATTTTTTTTTCTGATAAAACCACGGGGACAGCACAACAGAATGAGTATTGATAATAATAATATAACTCTGACAGGCTAAGCAAAGTTTCATCAGCAATTAGATCAATTTTAAATCTGAGACATTGAATTTAAAAATTGTCAAGTATAGTAGAAAAACACACTTGAAAGCGATATTTTGTGGAGTAAGAATTTGAGTTTGAATGTACGACTTCCGTACATGTTTTTTTAAACGTATTATATTATGTTAGTAATTAAAGACCACATAATGAACAGTCTTGCAGATAGCGAGTATTCGTGTCTAGAAAATACAATTTAATACTTTAAATGAACAACCAGCCTGCTCACATATGTGAAAAGAAAATGTATGTGGAGTGAGAAAGGGGATATGGAGTAAATGATAGACAGAGTGAATAAAAGAGAAATTGTGTGAATGAGGGAGGGGAAGAGTAGTTGAGAGAAAGAAAGAAAAAGGATAAAGGAGGGAGGAACTAACCATTCGTCAGCCTTGGAGTCATAGCACTCCACGTTGAAAATTGTCGTAACTCCGTTGAATCCGCCGATGACAAACACCATTTCGTCAATGACCTGAACAGATTACATTGTACATGTTCTCGTTTGCGGCTGTGCTATTCTACGAACACATATAGCATAAATAAAGG